ACATTGCTCAACATCATGAAAATTAAACCTTATTTTCAATAAGCAATCCTGAAAAATATTTGGGGGTGCTTAACTTTTTTCCAGGTGTATAAATAAACTGTTATAGGTGTTATAGGTTCAAATTGTATTTTAAATACAGAATATGTAATATGTATTATTGAATATGTAATATGTAATATAACATAGATTTAAGCATAACAATGTAATACTGAAAATATAAGAACATGAGAATTCTCAATATTGAAAATTTAATATTCAGTAAATTGGCAGTAAATCTTAATTTGAGTGTACTGCAATAAATGATTGATATAACAATCAAAATATATATAATTTATAGTGGAAAATGCTTTAAAGAAAAATATATGTTATTAGCGTTAAAAAGTTAACCTCAATCTGAACGTACTCGAACAGCATAATATTTGGAAATAAAACATTTACATTTGATGAAAATACAATAGGGAAAAAATATTGTTTAGTACCTACAAAGAACTTTTTTAAAGTGCTTTTGGCTACAGGTTTAAGAATATTAGCAATTCAGCAAACTTTGTTCTTGTGACAGTAAATTGCATGAATACATTCTGTCTCTCTCCATATATTGCTGATGCAATATGCTATTATTGTGAAACAGTTATCGATCTATAAAATAGTATTTGTTTAGATATAAAGAATATGCATTCAGTGGCAGTAGCACACAGATTACCAACTTGAGGAAATTGATGTGAGCATAAGAAATACGGACTCGTGGAAGAAAATACAATTATTAATATTTCTATGTACAGTGTTACATTAATAATCTTTCATCGTTCTTTTACTTAAATGTTCACTTTATAATACTTATTTCTTGTACAATATTACACTTCAGAATAATAAGAAACATACTCAGAAGTTGAGACTTGTACCATTTCCTATATTTCTATCAGGACCACTGACTTGGGCTGCTGACTTCTGACTCTAGTTGACTGATATGAGGGCTAACTTGGGTTCACTGAGGCTAATTGCTTCTCAGAGGCAGACGTATTTTTACTGTATTTTTAAACCTAGATTTTATACATTTTTAGTTGTTGCAGTGTGCGGCTATGAACTTGATTAAACTGGTTAGCTAATCATGAGTTTGCTTATTTGATGACTGAAATATTTTCTTGCAATTTTTAGAAATCTTCTTCCCCAACAGTTACATAACTGTTAAGACCATTTCCATTAATTGCATTCAAGAACAACCTTGGTGAATGTTAGTTTATGGCTTACCTCATGACATCTGTGTGAGCCTGCTACTCTCAGTGGGAATTCTTCATCTGTGTTTGCATCCCACATCTTTTTATTACCTGTGTCTAACCAAAGGTTTACCTTCCACTACTGAAAACTGAAATGTAATATAATGTGGTTTCAGTTAGTAGTGTCAGGCAGAACTTTGTCCAGCTTGACACTTGGTTTAGTTATCATGATCCTTTATTTTATTGTCACTTTGTGATAGTTTTTAGATCATGCTGACACAAAATGTGTACTTTTCGTTTGATATATTTATGTTCTTAATAATATGTAGAAGTTACGTGGGTCTTCAGCATTTCTTATACTAGACTCTTGTTCATAGTTACTGAGGGTATATTGCTTTCCTTTTGACATTGTGTATCCTGCACATGTATTTTTTTTCATTGCTGTTTCCTAACTTTAACACTTATTCAGTGTATTATACTTAATCAATTTTTCTGTTTTTCTAGACTGTGCAAGTAATCTTGCTTCAGTTTTTTCTTTGAAAATTTCTTCAGCCTTTAAAATTTGAATATTATCCTTCTGAATTGATAATCTTTACAACTAATTTAATTTCTTCATTTGCTTTTAACTATACTGATTTCATCCATTCCTTCTACATAAAAAAAAAATATCCTTGAATTGGAAAGAAATTTTCCAAAAGTCTCAGCTTTCTTTCATTATAAGATCATGATACGATGACTGAAATTCAAAATCCACACAAAAAATCAACAACACTAAAATAATCATATCCATTATTTCATTAGTTCATCATATATTTTAAGCACAAGAGTTCAAAATTCAATCATGAAAATGAATTCTATTTTTTGCTCATATTATTTTATGCATGGACAGAATCCTGATATATCAAATCAAAATTCAAAATAAATACATAATAGCAATTCAAGACAGTATCCTAATAATCCTTTCTCATACTTCATTATAATATCGCAATATTTTAAAGAATAAAGGTTAAATCAAATCGTTAAAGGTAAAATGAATTCAAGGTGAAATAAACTTTGTCAGTATATATTCCAAGATTACACCATAATAATAATATAAACTTCTATAATACTGGGTATGACAGAACCAAATAACCTCAAATCTTCTTAATTAATAACAAAATTCAAAATACAATCTTAATAACCATTTATAATATAATTTAAAACACAACAAAATAGTATACTTCATAAATATATGTTTACTAAACAAAATTCTCAACAGGTTTTAAAACATTAGGTAATTAGTTGGTGGCCTTCGTAATCACACATAGTTATTAATTCATTCTGCACAGGTATAAGCAGTAACACTGTCTCTCATGCTGCTTTCCTGATAATAGTATCTTTAGCGAAATACAGTTTTCATCTTTTTCTTCCCCACTGTCACCACTTTTATTTTATCCATTAATTATATGTAGTGTACAGTTTCTACTTTACTACACATGAGTTTCTAACTGCACCATATTTTCCCATTTTTACTATATATTTTCTGTCACCATTATTATTTTTTTGTTTCTCTAGTTTAGATGGTATCAAATAATCTGGTTGATGTGTTTTCATCTTTTTTCTTCCCCACTGTCACCACTTTTATTTTATCCATTAATTATATGTAGTTTACAGTTTCTACTTTACTACACATGAGTTTCTAACTGCACCATATTTTCCCTTTTTTACTATATATTTTCTGTCACCATTATTATTTTTTGTTTCTCTAGTTTAGATGGTATCAAATAATCTGGTTGATGTGTTAGTCGGCTTCCTATCAATCTTTTCACTCATTTGTATGACTTCTGGTTCTTGGATGCTATACCATTATCATTTTAGTAAAACCTAAAATTTTGCTTGAAAATTTTGAATATTGTGCAGATTATAATCAATTGGTTATGTACTTATAGATTTTGTTCTTACTTAAATCATTCAAACTACTTACTATTCTTCAGTTAACTTTGTCTATCTAAATCATTTAATTCAACTACTTCAGTTTCTTCTGAGTAAGTAATATTTGTATTACTTCTTTTGTGCTTATTTTCTTTCTAAAATTTCCTAACTCATCAAGTTTTCACAGAATAAATCTGCTAACTTATCTGATCATTACAATAGTATACTTACTAATATAATTACTGAGCATAGTGTTATTT